CAGATTACTTTTATATCTAGAATTCATAAATCTACTTCCATTCTTGAGTATTTATATGTTGAAATATAGGGTGTAAATACCTTAAGTGAATTTAGATTCTATTTACTTTTAGTAGATATTTTTTCAAGGAAAGTATGGACTTTTCTTTTAAAAAAAATTTGATACCTTTCTCAAAATTTTAGACAATGGAAATCGATGATTGAAAATCAATCCAACAAGAAAGTCAAATCACTTATGACTAATAATGGCCTTGAATTTTGTAACCTTGAATTTGATTTGTTTTATAAAGAATTTAGAATTTTAAGGCACTGAATTGTAACATATGCCCTCAACAAAATGGTATTATTTAGAGAATGAATAGAGCTTTATTGGAAAAAAAGTCCGGTGTATGTTACTTAGTTCTAATCTCTCCAAGTTCTTTTGGGTGAAGCTTTAAAAACTACTAGTTATCTTATAAACAGAAGTCCATTAAGTACTATTGATTTTCAAGTCCAAGAAAAACTATAGTCTGGTAAGTCTCTAGATTATACTAGACTTAATATTTTTTGCTGCTATTCTTATTAAAATGAAGGTAAACTTAAACCAAGATCCATAAAATATGTTTTTTTGGGTTCTGGAAAGAAAACCAAAGGTTATAGACTTTGTATTAAGAGTCAAAATAGTCTCAAGGTAATCATAAGTAGGAATACCATTTTTATTTAATGTCTTGTAATGATTCATCAGATTTGAAATCTATTGGAAATGTACCTGCTACTTAAACTGTATTGGAAAATCAAGAAAAAAATTCTACTAATCAAAATAATTTGATTGGGATGCAGACTACTCAACCTAAACTAGATCATGATAAAATTGAATCTGATAATGAAGAATTTCAAAATCCTTCTCTTGCTGACTATCAACTCACTAGAGATGGAAATAGAAAGAAAAGATTTTCTTCTACTAGAATCAGCAATGATGACTTTATGTCCCTCTACTCTGCATTAAACTCGTTAANGGACTTCCTGATTAAAAATAAAACCTAGATTCTAGTTAACAAGTCTAACATCAAAAGGTAGTGGACAGTAAGTGGTTTTTTTTTAAATTAAAGAAGGAGATTCTAATGTAGAAAGTAAGAGATACAAAGCCAGACTTGTGACTAAAGGATTTACACAAAGAGAATGAATAGATAATAATGAAATATTTTTCCCACTTGTAAAATCAATGTCAATCAGAATTTTGCTTGCTCCAATTGCTTATTTAATTGAGAATTGGATCGACTTGATGTTAAATTTGCCTTCATAAACGATGACCTTGATGAAGTTATATACATGAGTCAGGCAAAATATCTTTGTTGAAGAATTCTTTTATGGCTTAAAACAATCTCTCAAACAATGATATAAGAAATTTAACTAGAATATTCAAAATTAGGTTTTGTTAAGAGCAATTTTGATTTCTGTTTCTTTTACAAAATGTCAGGAGGACCTCAATCTATTTATTAATTGTTATATATTGATGACATATTACTTGCTTGCCATGTGGGATCTGAAATATATTTAATTAAATCTAAGATAAAATCTAGGTTTGAAATGAAAGATTTAGGACGAACTAAAAGAATTCTAGGAATGAAAATTAAAAGAGAGAGATATAACTATGTTGTTTATCTAAATCAATGTTCTTATGCGAAAAATATTCTTGAAACGCTTTCTATGCTTGAATGAGCACCTATTTCATTGCCCATTGCTAATCATTTTAAGTTATCTAGTGAACAATTACGTAAAACGGATTAAGAATTTGAAAGAATGAGAAAAGCACCTTATGCTAATGTTGTAGGTTCTATTATGTATCTTATGGTATGTACTAAACCTGACTTAGCTTATGGTATAAGTATTTTAAGCAGATTTATGGCAAACCCAGGTGAACACACTGGTTAGCTATAAAGTGGATGCTATAATATTTAAAAGGCTCAACTGAGTTACGTTTACAATTTAAAAGATGTAATGAAGGTATAATTCTTAAAAGCTATACTAATTCTGATTTTGTTGGAGATTTAGGTAAAAGAAGATCTACTTTTTCTTGTATTTTACACTGTGTGATGATATAATAGTTGGGAAATGCAATTGCGAAAGCTAGTAACCTTTTTTGACAAAGGCAGAATATATTGTGGCTTGTGCTACTGCTAAAGAAATTCTTTGGCTAGACGGATTGTTAAATGAAATTGGTTTCATAAATGAAATGGTTAGGGTATATACTAATAATCACAATGCCATTCACCTTGGGAAAAATTCTATATACCTTGATAGAACAAAACATATTGATATAAAGTTTCAATATGTGAGAAACATGGTTGAGAAATGCCTGATTATTTTCGTAAAAAACCAATTAAATTTAATCCTTTCGATCTCGGAACCAAAATATTATCTTTAAATAAATTTAAAAACTGCTCCAAGATTCTAAATTTCACTTGGAAGGTAGTGTATTTAGAATATCAAGTTGCATCGTTTTTAAATGTTCACTAACTTTATTAATTTTCTTTTTTACGGTTAAATAAGAGCAAGTGAAACAGGTTGATGTCTAGATACATTAGTTGATGTCAAGAATAGTTCAGCACGGTAGAAATTGTTGAGTTTGGGTTGCCTCACTATTATTGGGTATACTGGACTTGGGCTGGTGTATGTGTTTCAGGGTCTAAGCCCATTTATTTCATAAAAGTATGTTTGCTGAAAATGCAACTTTGCCTCTATTAAAGGCTGAGATCTAGCCTTACACATGGCCTTCTCCCAGTTGTTGGATTGGTAACTTTTGGGCTGGAATATATTACCTCAAACGTCTCTCATATTGTTGTGTGGCTTTTGTGTGCTCTATGGTTTCAGTCTCTAAGTGTTTTGTATTCATTCCATGTAATCTTTTGATGAGAATTTTCTTGATTATTTTTAGTGAGCAATCGAAGAGATTGTAAGGAGATTACCTGGTTGTAATTTTAGAGAGGCAAGAGGAAATTTGAGTGAAGAGATCTCTTTTTTCATACATTTGTAACAATTCTTGGTTGATTCTAGTGGATATAGAGTTATATCTACTTGTAAATGTTCAACGTGGTGATTAGTCCGAAAACTAAATGTCCGGGGCCTTGGGGATAAAACAATTCTCCATGTTCTTTCTTGCAAAGTATTTTGGGTTTAAATTGGGTTTTACAAATGTTTTTGGGACTGATAACACATAGAAGGGACAGATAGGGTGAGAGATTTGAATGCCACTGTCACATAATTCGTAATCAGCTTATTCGTACAGAATCACTCTAGTTAGTTTAATGGAGTTGATGGAGGCCAATGACTCAACACAGCCAAAGAATAAAGATATTTGAGACCCCAGAAAATACAAGTGTTTCTAATAGAAAGCTGTGTGAAACCCATCGAGATTAAGAGCTTTAGTGATTTCTGTGTGTTTAATAGCATGTCATGAACGGGCATCCCAATTTTGCTGCATAAGCAGTAAAAAAAGCATCCTCCAGCCTACTTACTATTGCCTTTAGCTTTATTACCCAGGGCCTCGGGCTACTGTAGATAGTATCAAACAAATCTTCTGAAGAAAGAAAAATATTGTCATTTCCTCCACCAATTGGTTGTATGCATTTTTAAGGTCGGAGATGTAATTTTTGTGTCCTCAACTAGAAGCTAGTGGAAATATTTTGTAGTCTATCCAATCATTCAGCCACTTAGCTTGTGATCTCTGTCTCAAAAACTCCTCCATGTCCCCCAGAGAGTCAATAGATCTCTTGTGAGATCCAATATCAGCCATAAAATCAGCATAGTATAGGTAATTATTTAATATTGCCGTCTATGTTTATATCTTTTCAGTTTTCTTCTCTAGAAACCAAAATTCATTTCGTTCTAGACTAACAGTGCCCTGCAACAGGTGATGGAAAAGCATCTGTCATATTTTTGCGATTAATTTCGCTTCAATGCTGACGTGGAAAGTTAAAAAAAAAAGCTGAGAAAGCCAATTTTCTTGTAAGTGACCCAGGCTGAAACAAAGAAATCCCTCTTCCCTAACTCAATTTCACTTTCCCATTTACATTTACGCTCCAGTTGCCCTATTTTTTAGGCTACTACGCAAATAATCTCCACTTTCGATCGCTTCGTCGACTGTTAGACAATACTTCCTTCCTCCCTGTTGGTAAGAGACCACCGAATACATCAATCACATAGGTAAGAGAAAGAGAAGGAAACAACGATGTGCGTTTTGAGTTTTGTGATATTATTTTGTTATTAACACAATAATTTCTTGTTTCATCATATGATAAAGACAAAATAGGATTTTTTGATCTTTTATCAACTTTAGTGTGTGCTAAAAATAATTTGACAGTGCTGAGCTTGTCGCCTGAGAGTTTGGGGTTTATTGTGTACGAAGAAAAAAAAGTTGGGCTTTAAGCTTCTCCAATCTTCTTTCAGTTTCATGAATAGGGAAAAAAATTAGTTTCGAAAACATAGTTTGATAATGCTGGGCTCATTCAATTATGCTTGAGTTTTACTGTATGCGAAAAAATAATTTCTAACTTATGCATCTTCATTTTTCTTTCCGTTTTAGATGTAAGGAAAATCTTAGTTTTGAAATGCAGAGCTTCAATTTAAACCTTCAAACGAGGTATATTTACAATTTCCTGTTTTGCTGGATCAAAGAAAATGCTATAGTGGTGCTTTCAATTATAAGCAGCTTTCCATTGGACAACGAAGAGAATGGATGATTTCCTGTTTTGCTAGATCATATGGTTGAATTGAAGTAGTACTGTATGTTAATTTGTGAGAATGATATGTTTACATGTTGATGTGGTTGTTTAATGTGGTTGAATAAGACTAAGTCGATGGAAAGCAAAAATAAGGGAATATGTCATTGTTGTAGATAAAGGGGACATATGTTGCCAGAATGCTCGAGAAAGAGAAGCTATCCAAATTGTGGTTTGGGATTCATCAAATGGATGGAGGTCGAAAAGAACAATGATCATAAATGGCTATTGTTCCATTGTTGTACTCGCGATTGTAGGTACTTCAAGTGGTGTAACAAATTCCTTGACAAAAAGTGTCCATTGCATGATGATGGTAAATCAAGTGCATCAGAAATGGAGGCGAACACGTGGATGATTAGCCACAAATGTTAAAAACGCTTGCTAAGCTAACTGACGAAAAAGACTTGAAGATCTGGCTTAGAATAAATATGCACAAAGGAAAACAAGTTTTGGAGAATGAAATCTAAATATGTTGTGTATTTGGATGGTTTAGGATGGTGTATAGGAAAAAGACTTTCGAATTGTTGTCGTCGAAAGTGCTTATGTACGATATGTTGGTACTTTCATATGTAATCAGATTTTCTCAAAAATTGTATTGATGTTTAACTAGCTTTTCAAGGTGTGACTTGCTTCTCAAGGTGTGCCAAGAGTCCCTTTGTACTTATAGTTACTGTCTATGAGAATGGTCACCACTTACGTTGTGATTTGAAAAGAATGTTTAGTTGTAGTTTCACTGCATTTATGTTGGCAAGGCACACTTTATTTGGCTAGTGATTTTTTTGTTTTCAATTTTAGAAGTATGTTCGATTTTTAGCATTAGAGTGGGAGATGAATGCCCATTAAAGTTTGATCTGGTGTATGTGTAGCAAGGCCATAAGTTGATCACTGTTAATCCATTTCCTATAGCCAAGTTTCCTCAGCCTTGTTGTCTCTCATTATATGGCTCCTCTGCCCCTGTGAGAAAACATAAAATAAATTAAGGTGGAAACCTATTCTAAAGTTTGAGTTGAAGTCCTTTTGTTTAATCTACGACCTGATGCAAAGTGGAGATGGTTTTGGTACATCATTTTGCAATTTAACACCTTAAGAAAGAGTAAAAAGGAGAAAGAATGACAAGGTTATATAATATGGTTATTCTTATGCTTTGTTTGACATGATAAGATTTAATCGTGTCTATGTAAGGTTACAAAAGGTTGAGTGCAATTTTCAATCCATCATCATTTGATTAGCTTTTCTGTCAACGCCCTTCTTCCAAAGTAACTGATAACAGACTCTTCTTCTGGTCTTTTGTAGTAATAGCATGAAGAACAGAATATACATTCTAAAATTATTTAATATTCACTGAAAATTTAAGCAAGGGTAACCTGTCTACCTCTGATAAGTGAACACTTGAGCAAACAATATCTAAGCAAAGTGGAAAACATGCAAGAAAAATCCCAGATAAAAGAAAGGCAAAATTGAAAATGTAAGACAAAATTACACATACATCCTCCAGCCTACTTACTATTGCCTTTAGCTTTATTACCCAGGGCCTCGGGCTACTGTAGATAGTATCAAACAAATCTTCTGAAGAAAGAAAAATATTGTCATTTCCTCCACCAATTGGTTGTATGCATTTTTAAGGTCGGAGATGTAATTTTTGTGTCCTCAACTAGAAGCTAGTGGAAATATTTTGTAGTCTATCCAATCATTCAGCCACTTAGCTTGTGATCTCTGTCTCAAAAACTCCTCCATGTCCCCCAGAGAGTCAATAGATCTCTTGTGAGATCCAATATCAGCCATAAAATCAGCATAGTATAGGTAATTATTTAATATTGCCGTCTATGTTTATATCTTTTCAGTTTTCTTCTCTAGAAACCAAAATTCATTTCGTTCTAGACTAACAGTGCCCTGCAACAAGTGATGGAAAAGCATCTGTCATATTTTTGCGATTAATTTCGCTTCAATGCTGACGTGGAAAGTTAAAAAAAAAAGCTGAGAAAGCCAATTTTCTTGTAAGTGACCCAGGCTGAAACAAAGAAATCCCTCTTCCCTAACTCAATTTCACTTTCCCATTTACATTTACGCTCCAGTTGCCCTATTTTTTAGGCTACTACGCAAATAATCTCCACTTTCGATCGCTTCGTCGACTGTTAGACAATACTTCCTTCCTCCCTGTTGGTAAGAGACCACCGAATACATCAATCACATAGGTAAGAGAAAGAGAAGGAAACAACGATGTGCGTTTTGAGTTTTGTGATATTATTTTGTTATTAACACAATAATTTCTTGTTTCATCATATGATAAAGACAAAATAGGATTTTTTGATCTTTTATCAACTTTAGTGTGTGCTAAAAATAATTTGACAGTGCTGAGCTTGTCGCCTGAGAGTTTGGGGTTTATTGTGTACGAAGAAAAAAAAGTTGGGCTTTAAGCTTCTCCAATCTTCTTTCAGTTTCATGAATAGGGAAAAAAATTAGTTTCGAAAACATAGTTTGATAATGCTGGGCTCATTCAATTATGCTTGAGTTTTACTGTATGCGAAAAAATAATTTCTAACTTATGCATCTTCATTTTTCTTTCCGTTTTAGATGTAAGGAAAATCTTAGTTTTGAAATGCAGAGCTTCAATTTAAACCTTCAAACGAGGTATATTTACAATTTCCTGTTTTGCTGGATCAAAGAAAATGCTATAGTGGTGCTTTCAATTATAAGCAGCTTTCCATTGGACAACGAAGAGAATGGATGATTTCCTGTTTTGCTAGATCATATGGTTGAATTGAAGTAGTACTGTATGTTAATTTGTGAGAATGATATGTTTACATGTTGATGTGGTTGTTTAATGTGGTTGAATAAGACTAAGTCGATGGAAAGCAAAAATAAGGGAATATGTCATTGTTGTAGATAAAGGGGACATATGTTGCCAGAATGCTCGAGAAAGAGAAGCTATCCAAATTGTGGTTTGGGATTCATCAAATGGATGGAGGTCGAAAAGAACAATGATCATAAATGGCTATTGTTCCATTGTTGTACTCGCGATTGTAGGTACTTCAAGTGGTGTAACAAATTCCTTGACAAAAAGTGTCCATTGCATGATGATGGTAAATCAAGTGCATCAGAAATGGAGGCGAACACGTGGATGATTAGCCACAAATGTTAAAAACGCTTGCTAAGCTAACTGACGAAAAAGACTTGAAGATCTGGCTTAGAATAAATATGCACAAAGGAAAACAAGTTTTGGAGAATGAAATCTAAATATGTTGTGTATTTGGATGGTTTAGGATGGTGTATCGGAAAAAGACTTTCGAATTGTTGTCGTCGAAAGTGCTTATGTACGATATGTTGGTACTTTCATATGTAATCAGATTTTCTCAAAAATTGTATTGATGTTTAACTAGCTTTTCAAGGTGTGACTTGCTTCTCAAGGTGTGCCAAGAGTCCCTTTGTACTTATAGTTACTGTCTATGAGAATGGTCACCACTTACGTTGTGATTTGAAAAGAATGTTTAGTTGTAGTTTCACTGCATTTATGTTGGCAAGGCACACTTTATTTGGCTAGTGATTTTTTTGTTTTCAATTTTAGAAGTATGTTCGATTTTTAGCATTAGAGTGGGAGATGAATGCCCATTAAAGTTTGATCTGGTGTATGTGTAGCAAGGCCATAAGTTGATCACTGTTAATCCATTTCCTATAGCCAAGTTTCCTCAGCCTTGTTGTCTCTCATTATATGGCTCCTCTGCCCCTGTGAGAAAACATAAAATAAATTAAGGTGGAAACCTATTCTAAAGTTTGAGTTGAAGTCCTTTTGTTTAATCTACGACCTGATGCAAAGTGGAGATGGTTTTGGTACATCATTTTGCAATTTAACACCTTAAGAAAGAGTAAAAAGGAGAAAGAATGACAAGGTTATATAATATGGTTATTCTTATGCTTTGTTTGACATGATAAGATTTAATCGTGTCTATGTAAGGTTACAAAAGGTTGAGTGCAATTTTCAATCCATCATCATTTGATTAGCTTTTCTGTCAACGCCCTTCTTCCAAAGTAACTGATAACAGACTCTTCTTCTGGTCTTTTGTAGTAATAGCATGAAGAACAGAATATACATTCTAAAATTATTTAATATTCACTGAAAATTTAAGCAAGGGTAACCTGTCTACCTCTGATAAGTGAACACTTGAGCAAACAATATCTAAGCAAAGTGGAAAACATGCAAAAAAAATCCCAGATAAAAGAAAGGCAAAATTGAAAATGTAAGACAAAATTACACATACACTATCTTCAAACAACAATTGATTCTCGATCCTTCCAATGTCGCCACAGTTCATTACATTGCATTTTTGTTTATCCCAAAAGTTCAAAAACTAAAATAAAATACATCTAAAACCACAAGATTGAAGGGAAAAATCCAAACAATACTTCTACACAGAGAAAGAGAGAAGCACGTCTGACCACATTCCTTGACATCAAATGTTGAAAAAAAAAATGGGACACCTTCCTATTGAGTTATATTATAGGAATTAAATAGTAGTCCCCTTGATGAACTAGCATGTTGAAAGGTCATTGCAATATCACTTACAGGATCTTGATGAGAAATTCCTAAACTCGGATTCTGAACAAGACTAGAAGGACCTTCCACAATAGCAATATGCAGAATGGTATGGGCGGCACTAAACATCGAATCTGCTATGTTGGTTGGTGAAGTCAATGGCTTGAATGACGTTTAGCATATTATTATTACAAGTAAATTGGAGAACCATATGAAATTAACTGTTTGTAAGAAGAAAAATTACACCACTTACACCATGAAATCCAAGAGGGAAAAACACCCATTGTGGATGGTCTCATTCCCAATTGTGCTCCAACATTGTACGACAAATTAGGACAGTAGTATGGCATTGCATTACCTAACATAAACATAAAAATTTTGGGAAGATGCTAAATTCACATTTTCTTACATGCTAAATACACATTTGAAACCATATGCTCACCGAGCTATCTAAACAAAACATTTGATGTTGATGTGAGAATAAAATTTGTAGATGACAATTGTTGTGTTAGTGCATGACGTTACTCGTCGCTCTGCATGAAATGGAAATTTAATTGAAACATGCCTCCAATACATTGACCAACGATAAATACTTACAAATATGACTTGTGAATTTGAGAATTGTGTCAGCATTGAATATTGTGCATGTGACAAGGACTGAAGGATAGGTGTGTCGGGTCAAAGATTGCTTTTCGCCACTCTCGATCTCTGTCCTTTACTGGAAGTTTATGCTGCCTGCATGACAAGGGAATAATTGACATTTGATATTTGTTCAAATGAATGTATGACATGTGAGAAAAATGTGTGAAAGAAAAATAACCTTTATTTTCTTCGAACTCGACTCCAATGAGCTTTTATGACAAAGTTTCTTCGGTTCACCCTTTCTTTTTGAACATTTAGGATCTTTTATAGTACCGCTGCCAGTGTCAAGTGATGCTCTAGACTGGGAACTAAATGCAAACTAGGCTACGAAATGTTATTACTTCCTCAACTCGTCTTCATAGACATCATGTCTTTGGACTGCAATCGAATCTAATCTATTATCGCACTAGTTCGCTCTTCGTCATCATTAGCAAAATGTCTTCCAACGTAGCAAACAATTCACACATTCTATCATACCTCAACTGGCTAGGAGTGATATCCAGACTATCGTAATTCACAACGATCATCATGTGGGCTCTATTAACATCTCGTCTCCATCTCCACAATATGTACCTCTCCGATAGTGATATGGCGCCATTACGTATTAACACTGATATGACATGTCTACACAAAATTACACAAAACTCGAATAAATGGCAACTGCAAATAATATTGCAATCCTCTGCCCGAAATGTGATTGAAAACTTTTTCTTTCTAACATTCTTTTTCGTAAATGACATTTTCCTCAACCTCTTGAAGATATCACATCGCAATAGACCTTCCTAGTTATCTCATCTTGAAATTCCCAAAATTTTGAAATGGTATAAGCAGCTTGGAATTGTTTTTCCATTTCATATTTTGTCACACAGGGTAACATCTATGAGTAAGACTTGAAATTTGCTTGAAATTCTTTCTCAAATTTATTTCGTAATGCTCGTTCGTTTATTCGACAAACTTTTTCAACGATGTATTAGAATGGACATACCCATCAAAGAACATATTTATATTCTCACTGTACTGAATTGTTGACATTCTCGTCCAAAAACCTATTTTCAAATAACATGGCACCTAACAACCCCTGTTCTTAAACAACCCCGACAACCAATCATTATCATATAAGTCATATGTATCAAACATAACTTTCTAACCTTCTCTGGATTCTTCAACGACCTGTGTATTATACACTAAGTCATTTATAGACTGAAAAAATGGAGCCCTTCTGAACGTGGTATCCAAACTTCTCCGGCAACTTCTTTAATATATGCCACAAACACCATCTATGCCTTTTGTTTGAAAAGATTATCTCAATTGCATTTCACATGGCCCTGTCTTGATTGGTACATGCACTGCATCCAAGTCCTGAATAGTTAAACAAATGTATCTATATCTTCATTTTCCAGCAAATCACATCCAAGGAGTGTTGATTGTCCATGATGATTTACACCAACAAAGGGGGCAAAAGGCATGTCATATTTATTAGTGAGATAAGTGGTATCAAATGTCACTACATCCCCAAACTCTTTATACGCTTGCCTACACCTCTTATTTGCCCAAAAGAGATTCCTAAGTCGGGACTCTTTCATCCAAATCTATACAGAATTAAAAATTTGAGCACTATGCTTGCATTTGTGAAAACTAGGATTGTATTGCCGCGGCATCTCCTTTACCAAGTCTCAATTGCCTCACTCGTTCAACGTAATTTCGACAATCCTTTTCAATGACCTGCTTCAACATCTGCTGAGTTGTAACTCTTGTGTAAAGATATTCCAGCCACATCTTTCACTTTGAGCTTGCATTTGATATTTGCACTCAATTCCAAATTGTAGCAATATAATCTAGATTTTGAAGGACTAGTTTTATGATTGTGTTCAAGATCAACTGTGCAAATTTTCCATATTCCACGAATATCTGAAGAAGCAGTAAGTCTTGCTTTGCAACCTGTTTGAATGGTTGGATGCAGCTTCAAAGAAGCACCTGCATTGCTGCATCTTCGGCCCTCACGACAACATGTCAACGTAACGTAATTCACTACTCCATCTTCTCCCTTTCTAGAATTCCTCCTCCTAATCGGAAAACCTACGTCATACACATATCTCTTATAAAAGTCTAACAACTCTTTTCATCTTTGAACTTCATACCAACTTTAGGCACAATCACGCCATCTCCTCCTAAAATATCATCTTTCAATGTGAAGATATTGTCTGTATTGTTGTCATTATTGGATTCTACTAAAACTTCATCATCTAATACTTCCACTATTTCTTTACCTACATCATATTGAATGAGAATATGAATTTTAAGTATTGTTCAAATGTTCGTGAAAATCTGATTACAATAATATTAGAAGTGAAACAAGAAATTACAGAAGCAGTGAAAATACATAGGTTTTTCAATAGTGCAACTTCAAAAAATTACAACGAAATTACCTTTCTCTGTCATTTCGTAGATCCCAATGCCACGACAAAGCCAAATTCTGTACACATTTCGAAAATATTTGCAAGAAAATTATAAGTAGGCGAATATCTTAATATATTGTACACATTTCAAAAATATTAATAAAATTTTCAAACACTACAACTTCAGAATAATTGCAATGAACATACCTTTCACAAGTGAAGTCGGTGAATCCCCTTTGGCAAAAAATTTAAATTTCGATCTTTGTTGGATGTTCAACCCCTTGGTCGCTATCTCGTTTGGCTATAGTAGGTAAATTGATGTTAGATCTCAACATTGGCGAGATGTGGACGGAATTTATTTTGGTGGAAAACAAGTTCTTACCTTCAATTTCGCACTCAATCCGCCGGTACTGCAAACCTGGTTCTCAAATTTAGGCCTTCTTAAAATATTTAAAAGTGTAGAAACAATTCTCATTCCCACCAGTTTAAGTGGGCACGAGACCCAGAATTCAAAAGGTTGTACACAAAGCTGTGTACCAGCAATGTACAAGAGGCTTATTGTTTTACAAATTTTATTTATTAGCTTGCTCGGTCCCTCTGTTTGAGTTCCATACTTCGAAAAAAAATGTATTTTTAAATAGTGTTTTGACATCATTTCATCTGCACATTCTTCAATAGAATAATATTACACACAAGTCCAAAATTTTTCCTTATATTTCAACTACACATTTTCCATCAATACACTATTTAAAAATTCATTTCTATTAAAAGAATGTGGCTCAAACGAGGGCTTAATGTACTTGTTGATTTTTAATTGTCATACATTGAAAAATAAATTTTCAAAACCTTGAAAAAAAAAGTACATGGTATACTTGGACTACATTCACTGGAATTGGTACGAATTTTTTTTTTCTTATATAACAGAATCTGATTTCTTTTTATACATATACAACTTTTTTTAGTAATAAATTTTGTATCACCCTAGAAGTTTTCAAATTTGTTTAGAAATAATATAAGGATTTGTTAAATTAAAGTTATCATTCCTTGTATTGAACTTCTAACAAATCTAAGATGTCTTTTCGCATATCTTCTATTTTAAGATTATTAAATATTTTCAAATTTATTTAGAAAGATAATATTAGGATAAGTTAAATAAAAACATCTTTCCCTAAAAATCCAGAAAATCTTTTGGACTTATCTTTTAAGCTACAATGGTTATCGAGTTTGTTGTAGATTATTTGATAAGATTGGATTCCTACTTTTGATAATTTCTTTACTTATAAGTAAGGTAATTAATCAAGAATAGAATTAAGCTTTGAAAAACTTAATCCTGTCTGGTGAACCTGTGGCTAGCCATTCTAACGTTATCTAGCAGCAAGTAGTTATACCATTATCTGTAGTAAGTAGCCCTGTCATTAACCAGCAATGAGCAATTCTGCCATTCTCGAAAGAGTTCGTATAGACGTGATACTTCATTTAATATTTTTAAAGTCAACGTTTTCTCCAAATATTTGGAAAACACAAATCAACTGACGCTGAATGGTCAATCCAATCAATTGATCAAGCTACTTGACATGAAGTTAAGAATGATGATTTTAATTCAAGTGGTGTTGCGACCAAATATAATAGGGAAGTGGTAATAAGTCAAGATCAGTGAGTTTGATTTCACTTCATCAACAAGTCAAAATAAGAAGATACAGCGGAGTTGTTATTGATTCTTTTGATTGTTCTTTTGTTAATTTTGTAAAATTGCAAAAATGCCTACTATTGTATTTTTTATCAATTAGTTAGTGTATTGATTTATCCATGGCATGGGGGCCTGTGAATCTTTTCTTTAGAATTTACCATGTTATATCTGATGTTCAAGTATTGATTTGCTATTTAATTTTTACCCTAAGGGTCCGTTTGATTGTAAAGATGGAATTTGGGTGAAATGAAAACGAATTCCAGGGAATTCAGTTGCCTAGAAATTGTTTTCCTGTGAATTGTAAATTATTGTGTTTGATTGGTATAATTTTTCACGTGAAAAATGTTGAAAAAAAAGTATTTTTTGGTGTTCGTTTAGCTTTATTTTATATGAAATTTGTCGATTAAAGGGACATAATTTACTGGTATTGGGGATGAAATTTGTTTCCATTGTCAACAAAAAAAATTCAAGAAAATCATTTATCTTTTGATCTTCGTTTGGCTTTGTTTTCTATGAAATTGTCAATTAAAGAAAAATATTCTTTTATTTTAATTCTTAGAATTTGTTTCCATTGCCAAAAAAATAAATAAATAAATAAATAAAAAGTGCTTCCTTCAAAAGCCAAAAAAAAAAAAATCCTAGGTAGCATGAAAAGCTAGAAAATGATTTCGATGGAAAAATAGAAACATCGAACAAGCAAAAACATGGAATTGAAATTGGTTTTCCACTTTCTATGGAAATTTTGGGTGTATCATACACACCCTAAGTAAAAACTGCATGAACATAGTGACAATTTGCTCATTTCTGTCAAAATCATCAGAAACTAGTTATAGGAAGTTATGACTGCTAGCCGTTTAGAATTATTACAGTGAAATTATAATTTTTTTTCATTTATCTTGATTTTAAAATTTTGCAAGAAGAATCCAATTTCTCCGGATGGAGTGAAACAAATGGTCTCTCTCCCTAACTCGCCGAACGCCTCCACTACATTTCTATCACCCCTTTGTAGCCCAGCTCTTTTAGTCAAAATGGTTCAATTTAGAAGCTTCTCTGTATCGTTACCCTATCTCGATGCTTCCATCTTTCAACTGTATTCAAAATCGAGGGCTGGTCGGATTTCTGGAAGTCAGGATGGCTGACCAAAGTAATGGGGATGAGATTCCTCTATTGTTCACTGCACACAAAATGGTCCAGACGTTCCTGAATATTTGCAGGCCATCATTTCTTTAATTCAATGTAAAAGAAGGGCCATTGAACCTCAAATCCTTTAGTTCACAGTTAGCTAGCCCATTCCCCACATACACTCCTCTAACTCCCTAGCAGACTGGTCTAGTCCAATCCCCTTTTCAGCTGCTTGGCCATTGCCTTAGTCACCTACACACAAAGATGGGCCAGTATGCAGTCCCTGAAGTCTCTATTGAGAATTAACTTATATACGCACAGGAAAATTTAAAATATTTTTCAATTCTCTTCAAGTATTGTCTTTATGTTTAGATAGAAATCATGATTAGACTATTCAAACTTCTTTGATAATCTTGATAACAAACAATCATGATCTCTTCTTCTTTATGAATCTTGATCCACCACTCTGCACATCATAACTATCCAATCGTTCAACCTGTAATGATAATCTACTGTGAGAGAACAAGAATGAAAAATTAGAATTTTCTTTTATTTTCTTGTGTTGCAACAGTAGGAATGAATGTAGCGACTTATCTCTAACGTTAACTCTTTATTAAAATATGTTTAAGTGGACCTAATAATCTTGACCCATTGATAAACAATTCAAATTAATTAATTTAACAAATATCCCACATTTGTCAATTAATTAATTCTAATTTTATTATTCTAATTCTCGTCTTATGTGTGTAATCCGTTAGGTTCCCGATCACGATGCTGGATGGCATGAATTATTATTCTAATTCAATCAAAATTAAATAAATTAAAATCCTCTCGATTTATCATTAATTCACAAAGATTAATGAATTCACATTCGTTGTCCCCCATTGATATTTATATGGCAGAGTAATACATGTGATAAAAAATTCACGTAGTGTAACAAAATTAAACTTATTCATCTATTGTGATCCTTTTGTATTTAATTAATTTGCATTTGTCGCTATTTGACATCTATCAATATGTTGAGTACATGATGAAAAATGTCACGTAGTTTGATAAAACTAAACTTATTCATCTACCATGGAACTATAATCTCTTTGTCAATATGACCTTATCAATTACGAGATATGGTGACGTGTAGATCTCGATTTCATAGACCATATCTTTCATACTGCTCTCAAGTCAATTATCATTGAAACTCTTTTTGATGTATAAACTCACTTTAGTTAAGGATTTCGATATCGACTTAAGCGAATGGAATGTATGTCATAATCTCTTATTATTTAAGAGTGACAAATCCTTAATCCTTCACAACTTTAACGATGTTGTATTAGCGATTCTTGACAAAGCAACATCCAACATTACTAAGTATGATGATCCTCATATAAGGGTACTAGACGACCTCAAGTCAAAGAGCTAGTTCAACTATCAACAATTAGATATTAACCACTGATCCATGTGATCTCTATAGTAGGCTCCAATATTTTATTCTCTTAATAAAAAGTTCATGCATCCATTTAAATGTTAGTATATTTTAACTCATGAGATTAGTTACCCACTTCATAAGTGAAAAATGTCGAACGTGTTAGTCTAACTCTAATAACGATATCCATATCTCGCTATTAATTACAATCATGTATAATTTAATATTCGATCATCCCTTCAACTATACATTTATTTGACATGATTGATTGGAGCCAACTCCTTAGGATTAACAAGTTATCAAATCTTGAATGTACCAACTTTATTAATTTAATTTATCAAAATAATAATAATAAATTTGCCGTCAATAAAATTTTAATTAATCAATTATAATGTTGACAACCTAATGTTGATTGAACCTAGGATATATTACTTACACATTCTCCAACCTATTTTCATTAACCGTCTAGCATAACAATACCTTCTCGACAAGGCAATGGTCGAATACTGTGGTTTCCTCCATAACTGCCTCATCTTCCACCTCAAGAAATCAATCATCGATTTGATGTGAACCCATGTTTAACCCAATTTTCTGAAAGCTCCTTTTCTGAAAGCTCCTTTTTTTCAAAACTCATTTTCAACCACATTTTCTAATATAATAATTTTACATGTAAATTCAAAATATTCTCTATTTTTTAACCATACATTCTCCTAAAAATTATTATTCAATAACATATTTTTCCCAAAAAGAGCTCAGACGGGGCCTAGATTCTCACACGTGTTCGAAAGTTAATCCGATTCTTTCTACTCACTGCAATAGCCAATTGGTAAAAATTCAATCGAGGTCAAAGACCACCGGGAAAGTGGCTGTTGACCACTTTCTATTCCAGCTACCGCCTTGGAAAGCCAAAATCTCAACCTTAGAGTAACTCCGTATAAAATAGAGCTTAGATTTTTAAAGTGGTCAGCAATTGCAATTTTTGACCAAAAAAA